TTCTGGAGCAGAGAACCAACTGGAAACTCCTATTTAAGTTGCTGGCTTAATCCAGCAACTTAAGTGATATCATGTCAGTTTGTTCCAATCACAACTGAGGAATCCTGTAGTCACGCACTTCCACTTGCAAAGAGCAGAAGTTAATTTACCTTAATAAAAGTTGGGGAGGGAGTGGTTTCATTGTAGGAAAAAGTATCAGGAGCCAAAACCTCTTAAGTAACCAGAGTCTCATTTGCTACATGGTCCTCAAGTGGTCTTTGCATCTCATTGCATCTCCTTTGTTCTCTTAACAATTAGTTACTTCTACCTATTCATTTCCCGCTTCCTTATTACCTGGGCCTGGCCCATTCCATGGGTCATGGCATCTTTTCAGCTTCAACTCCCTTTTATTTATTGCTGTAACCTATTATTATTTCAAATTTCTAGGAGAGAGAATCTGGCCCAACTTGAGTTTTGGACCAGGCCATTGGCCATATCTAATAATAAGCTTATTGAACTTTTACTTTGTACTAGTCACTAGGCTATATGTTTTGACATAATTCTTTCATTTAATCCTTTAACAACTCTAGTACTATCATGCCCTTTTTACAAATAACAGTTATACAACTAAATGTAACTAGGATTTAAAGCTGAATCCACTCTCTGCTAGCTTCTGGCATTTACCTCAGATTTATGGAAATAGGAGATCTAAAAGATGGGGACTTCTTTGGCAGAATTGAGCAGCAACCTCAGCCGGAAGCGGATTCAGATCATTCTCAGCTGCGCAAGCTTTGTCTTAGGAAACAAGCAAAAATACCAAAGGATAGCTGCTGACGCCACGGCTCTGTGCGGCAGTTCCCGAGCCTCCACGCCCCCACGCCCGCGTCTAAGCTGGCTGCACAGTGCACGTGGGCCCCCTGCCGGGTATCTAGGCTGCTGCAGCAAGGTTGGGCACACCTGAGAATAGGCCCAGGTGGGCGGACTACGCCGAGACTGTTTCCGGAGTCGGTTCCCGCTGGGAGGCATCCTGACCCCGGGCGAGTATTTAGAGGAGAATGCTGTTTTGGCACTAAAAGAAACCTAGTTAACAAAGTGAAGGGAAGCCTGCCCCGCCCCCAGCGAACACCTGTAGCCGCGAGGTCTCTAGCTGTCCCGGATGCGACTGTAGTGTCGGGGCCGATGCTAATCGAGGGGAGCGGATTGGCTGCGGAGGATCTGGGGCGGAGTCGTCCCCTTCGCTGGAAGCTCTGGGCTGTGGGCTTCTCCCGCCGAAGCTTCTCTGCCTTGCTTTTACCCGTTCGTCGGGCTTCCTTTCAATCTGAGCTTCGGAGGGGCCCGCTCTCACCCAGACGGCCGGAAAAGGTCGTGTGGCTCCCGCCCTTCCTTGCTTCCTCCGCTGGAACCCGGAGGGCGTCACGCCTAGTGCCTGAAGACCAACTGTTCTTCACGGCGCCCCCAGACCCGCGCTTCTCCGGGGACAGCGGCCGGATTCAGCTGCTCCAGGGCGACCCAGAGGCGGCGCCGGTTAGACACGCGGGACTCTGTGGGGTTGCATCAAGGTGCACCCGCCGTGAGGAAACTGCCCGACGGGCGGGCCAGTCGACCCTTCCCCCAGCGGGCACTGTCCGGCGTCTTGAGGCGGCGGGTGGTCCCAGTTCTGCGGCCTCCGTGGCCATTCCCCAGGCTGTGCCAGCACCGCCGCTGCCCGGGGAAGTGGAGGTGGCCGGCTGCAGCGCGCCGTCGGGCATGGGAGAAAGAGAGGAGAGTCTCGGGAGGGGCGGCCCGAGATGTCCTGGAGTCCTGTGGGTGATGTTCGAGCCCTGATTTTGGATCTCGCTCGAAGACTCTAATGTTGGCACGCGTCGTTTCTGATTTTAGAGGGCGGTATTGATTGAAGCTTCTGGGTCTCGCCCCCGCCCGGGCACCCTGCGGCGCTGACTCTGCCCTGGGGGTCAGGGACCCTCACTTTTGCGTGTGCTCATTTCTTGCTACCCTCTCTGGGACTCTCCTGGTAGAGTTGGTCTTCTCCGAGAACCGGAGGGGCAGTGAAGGACTCGGGGAGACGAGGTCTTAATTTGACGTTCCTTAAATTGACCTTCTTGACGTTTTGTAAGTGTGGGCGTGTGGCGGGACTTGGCGCCTACCTGGGAACCATGAACGACCCGGCGAAGAGTTGACCTGACGAAGAGTTCAAGGCACTCTGATGGGAGGAAGGAGCAAATCTGAGCGAGATTCAGACGAAAATTGTAGCGGTGAGTGTGGCATAGGGGCTTTGCCCGCGCAGCTCTGTTGTTGCGCCCTGGTACCAGGTATGGAGTCAGGCTTTGCGAAGCGTGAAGTTACAAGATTTTGGAGAGCTTTCAGTGCAGAAAGCCTTTTTTTTTTCCCTTCAGGTCACCAGGAGGTAAATGCTTGCTGCCTTGCCCACTGATTCAGGCTAGCAGCCCTGCCAGCTCGGCGATTCGAATTTCACAATTTTTTAAAGGTGCCCAAGATATTCTGCGTGGGAACTGCAGTGTGTAGAGATACCTATGAGTGTCATGTCATATTCATAGGCTTACATTGGTGGGAAGGGTGAGGAATTGCTTGAAATGTCAACCAGTAAATGTTTATGTAGTTCCAGTTATTGCCAGTAGCCTACAAAGGCTAATATGCATGTCCTGACAGAAATTCCCTGAGAGCAGAGCTGGCTCCCACTGTACAACCTGGCACAGAGTAGGTCTCAGGAAGTAATTGTTGAAGGAAGGAAGCAAGGAGGAAGAAAAATGTTCCTTGTTCTACTAGTCTGGTCAAGAAGACAAATATGTAAATAAACAGTTAATACATTTTATTAATGTATTAACACATCAGAATAATTTATACATTCTGATAAGTGCTGCCTGGAAGAATAGACAGAGGTTTCCTAATTTGGCTGAAGGATGTTCCAGCCTTCAGCCAAATTAGGAAGATACCCAGAGTAGAGGATGAACAGGAATTTGATGAGACAGAGATTTTAAGTAGAAGAAATAGATTCTTTAAAATATTTTTTTTTGAGAGGGAATGTTTGCAAAGGTGAGACATAAACCAAAGTTTAATATAGATATATATGTAATATGTAATATATATGTTTCCCTTTGTTATTCCAAAAGGTTTTGGACTAGTTTGCATAAATATAATAATAGCACAAGATAAACTTAAGTGGTAGACAAGATCAGAATAGGGAAATGAGGATGCATGGAGAGTTAGGTTATGTAAGTGGTTCGGCTTGTAGATGGAAAGAAAGTAGTGAGGAAAGGTGAATGAGAAAGGTGCATGTGACATGAGAAGAGGTCGCTTAACACATGAATGAATGCATATTTCAAAAAATGCTCAAAATGGAAGAAGGTCTGTGGTTAACAGTGCTGTACCAGTGTCTTGGTTATTGTGCTACAGCTCCAGAAGATGTCACTATTGGCAGAAGTTGGGTGAAGGGTACAGGGGAATTTTTGTATTATTTTTGTAACTTCCTGTATTATTATTTCAAGATAAGTTATTAAAAAAAACTATAGGGCTTATGGAATAAGTGAGGTTGGTACAGAATCCTCAAAAACTTCACCAGTGACACATTTTTAAAAAAAAGATAATAAAAAATGGTGTTACAAATGTTAAGTGGTTACAAAATTTATAAGTACTACAATAAATATGACACTTTGACAAAAAGTTAGTATAGTTTAACTCACAACTCTACTTGTTGGTACTTTTAGCTTAACTATGATATGCAATGTTTAATTATAGTATATGCGTTTCAAAGATGCTTTTTTTATTCTGGAACTCTTTTCCCTACCCTCAGCCCCATACTTCTCTTTGCTCAAGTTTCTGCTTTTCCATTAACTCTTGGGAACTCACATTATGGTGCCCACTGACTAATGTCCTTTGGACCTCAGACCATACTCGAGATGTGCCCTGCATCCCTGTCCCGGTGTGGGAAGAGGACTGCCTACAGCTGTTGCCTTTACTCCCCATGCACACAGTAAGTCTCCAGTTGGTGTAAACCAAACAGTGTAGAAGCCGGCAAGTCATTTGATTGAAACACTTGTCCTTGTTTGTATAGCTCCTGCTGACTCTTGCAATGATCATTTTAATCATCCTAAACTTGCCTGACTTTAACCGGACTGCGATCAGCCCTAGGTCTATTGTTTTGGCTGTGCTTTAAAGCTATCGTGGCATGGTGGGACACAGTGAGCCAAGTTAAGTTTTTAAATGTACCTTTCTTGATAGTTTTGGTTCTTTAGAAAGCTAAACTTCTTAGTTGCCCATTGAGGGAAGGCACAGGGTAGGGATGGGGATTTTTCTTTCTGGAGAAGTGATATGCTAGTCTTTCACTGTGTGTTTTCAGATTCTTAGGCTGTAAATATGAAATATGCATGAGATTTATAGCTGCAAGAGTAATTTTAATGCACAGACTTACCTCTTCACATGAATTGTGGCCAGAAAAAATGGTTTCATGATGTAGGAAGCTTAGCCTTCAGTGTCTTCGGCCCCTGAACTTGAAGTCATAACTTGAATTGTCTTCATGGGTTGAAGGAAGAAAGTCAAGTTATATGACCTTTGTTCAGGCCTTTGGGGTAAGTGTGTGTTCCTTTAAAAATCTCCAGAAAGGGCTTTTCGAGAATTTTGCAGAAATGGGAAGGCTGCTTCTAGTACTGTATATATAGTGAAAGAAAAATAATGTTGGGCATCGTTTCTAATTGCTGTCCGTAGTGATGACTCCCATTTGTAGTCATAACAATAGTAACATACACAAATTTATCAAGCTCTGTGCAGCCTGCACTGTTTTATGTGCTGACTCTCCTTTAATCCTCCCAACAGTCCTACGAGGCAGATAGCTTTAGAAGAGGTGAAATGGTTTCCTGAGGGTCACGGATTCTTACTGCCTCCCCTCTCCAACATAGACACTTTTATTTAGGCATCTTTTCTCTTTAGCTTCTCTTTTAAGAAAATAGTTTTCAAGGATTTTAACTTGTGGTCAAAACTTTTTCCCCCCCTAGCATTTTAAAGCTGGTTGTTGAAATGTGCCGTTAGAGGTTCTCCTTTGCTAGCATGCCCATGCTTCTATCTGGGTGAGCCTTAGGGAAAATCCTGCATGGAGAGACGGATTCTTGAAAAATTTATCTGTAGTTTTTACTCCTTATTTCTCCCTTTATAGTCTCTCATTCCAGCAGGTAGCAGGATACATGATGCATTCTTGATGGGGTGGGGAGGGTACTGAATATTCTCCCAGGCAGGGAGACCCCTGCTTTGTGTCTGGTCTGGAGGAGGGCAGAGCCTCGCAGGGCCTGGCTAAGTGGAACACTGGTGGGGAAGCTGTTCTTGGCTTGGATGCCACAGAGCCACAGACCCAAGAGCTCATGCAGCTGGAATGAGAGAAACTTTGGCATCATGTTATGACTCAAAGCTCAACACTGCCCCAGGAAGGTGAGTGAGAGCCCAGGAGTGATTGGGGTTACATTCTCTACCAGCCTGGTGCAATGGAGCCTAGAATCTAATGTTACATCAAGAAAGAGATTCATACCAGTTATGTGGGTAAACTTTTGTAGAATATGTAAAATTAAATCAAACGTCTTTCAGAAGTACTACTCTAATTATTGTAAAATACCCAAAGTTAAACCATTCAGCATTAAACAGGAGAGGTCTGTATTCTTGAAGGGATGTATAGGATTCAGTTCATTTCTTTATTCAACTAGTATCTTTAAAAGTAGGTACAATGGGCAGTAAAGAGAATGTTGACAAAGTTGGCAGGGGACAGGAGGGAGCAGGTAGGAAGCCATTTTTCTGCGGGCTTATTTGTGCCAGGCACTGAACTCACATCTCACATTGTGGAGCAGGTAGTGATACTTGTATTGTTACAGATGAGGAGATAAGAGGCTCAGAGAGAGCTTGCCGGGATCCAAAGAACTGGAGGTGAGGGTAGTGGAATTTGACACATAAGCCCATGCAGCTGCCTTCTCAGAATTTATGCTGTAACTCTTGGTTACACCTTTATCATTTCAAAACAGAATGATTTTGAAGCATCAAGTAACCGTGTGTGATAAGGCCTTGGCCAGCTTCTCCTCTTTATTACCTCTTCCTTGAAGCTTTTCCCCACCTGCAGACAGATATCTGTTCTTTTGCTACATGTTATAGGTTGGATTGTATCTCCCAAAAAGATTTATTGAAGTGCTAACCTATGAATGTCGCCTTATTTGGAAATTGTCTTTGCAGATGTAATCAAGATGAGGCCATTAGAGTAGGCCCTAATCAGATATGACTGGTATTCTAATAAGAGAATGCCATGAGAAGACAGAGACATATAGGGAGAAGGCCACATGAAGACAGAGACAGAGATAGTGATTGGAGTGATGTGTCTACAAGCCAAGGAACGCTGGTGGTTACCAGAAGCTACACAAGAGGCATGGAATAGATTTTTCCTCTGAGCCCTCAGAAGGAACCAACCCTGCCCACAACTTGATTTTGGACATCTAGTCTCTAGAAATGTGAGAGAATAAATTTCTGTTGTTTTAAGCCACCTGATTTGTGGTACTTTGTTACAGCAGCCCTGGGAAAATAACAGTTGGCACTCCCATAGCAGTTTGCAACATGAGGCCCTTCACACATTTTCTTGTAATGGGCAGCTTATCCATCTCTTTCCTGGGTAGCCTGTGGGCTGAATTGGTCTTCTGGTGTGGTGGTCTTCCCTCAGCTCTGAAATCATAGACTTTAGACCTCATTTCCCCATGTGGCCCTCATTTTGTGTGCAATAAAAAGGCAAAAACTAAGGCCCCTCTCAAGGCTAATGCTTCCTGAGGGCATGGGGAGAGGAGGCCAAGGGCAGCAGAGGTTGTGAGTGAGCAGAGCCCTGACAAGTGATTGCTCACAGCCCCTTTCGTGGCTTCTTTGGCCCTGATGGTGGGAGCAGAGGGCAGGCTGTGGCTGTCCTGGATTGGTGGGCAGTGTGGGGTGCCTGAGGGCCATCTACTACATTTGAGGTGCCTATGAAATGGCTGCGATATGTATGCACACTTAAACTCTTCCAGAGGAAGGGTGCCATAAAATGGTAGGTCCTGCCTGACTCACAAACACTTAGCCCTACTTTCGGGTTTGTATTGGACAACATGTTTTTAAACTTTCTATGTGACTTGAAAAAATGTGTTGGGAGCTCAGAACTGATTTGTAAAAGGACTATCACTGCTCCAGTGAAACAAAAAGTTCTGCTTTTCCGTGAAAAATAATGACTCTCATACAAAAAGACAAAGCAACAGAGCAATCATCAAAACTAGGCATAGAGGGAATTATCCAACCAGGAATTTAGGATATAATATGCTAAGGGCTCCAAAGGATAAAGTAGACAGCATGCAAGAACAGATGGGAACTGTAAGCAGGGAGATAGAAATTCCCAGAAAGTACCAAAAAGAAATGCAACAGATAAAAGATACTGTAACAGAAATAAAGAATACCTTCAATGGGCTTATTAGTAGACTGGACATGGGTAAGGAAAGCTTGAGCTTGAGAATATACCAATAGAAAGCTCCAAAATATACAAAGAACTCTTAAAACTCAATGATAAGAAAACACCGAATTAACTAACAAGGATTTTAAACGGAAAACTCACCATAGCAAATAAGCATATGAAAAGATTCTCCACATCATATGTCATCAGGGAGATGCAAAATAAAAGAGCAATGAGACACCACTACACACCCATTAGAAAGGCCAAAATCAAGAACATTGACAACACCAAATGTTGATGAGGATGTGGAGCAACAAGAACTCATTCATTGCTGATGAAAATGTAAAATGGCATAGTTACTTTAGAAAATAGTTTAGCAGTTTCTTACAAAAATGAACATGCTCTTACCATACAATGACTCCTTTCAGCAAAGAATTGAAAACTTATGACCACACAAAACCTGCACACAAATGTTTATGGAAGCTTAATTCACAATTGCCCAAAAAATCTTGGAAACAACCAAGAGGTCCTTCACCAGGTGAGTGGATAAATAAACTGTGATGCATTGAGACAATGGAATATTATTCAGTACTAAAAAGAAATAAGCTATCAAGCCATGAAAAAACATGGAGGACACTTAAATGCATATTACTAAGCGCACGAAGCACTTGGTAATCAGAAAAGGCTATGTTCTGTGTTTCAACTACATGACATCCTGGAAAAGGTAAACTATGGAGATAGTGAAAAGATCAGAGGTTGCAGTTTAGGGGTGAGGTTGGGGAAAGGTAGAATAGGCAGAGCACAGAGGATTTTTAAGGCAGTAAAACTACAATACTATCATGATGGATATATCTCATTATTCATTTGTCCAGACCCATAGAATATACAACACCAAGAGTGAACCAACTCTAAGGTAAACTATGTACTTAAATTTGGATGATAATGACATATCAATGTAGGTTCATCAACTGTAACAAATGTACTACTCTGGTGGGAGATGTTGACAGTGGGGAAGGCTATGTGTGTGGGGGGGCAAGTAGTATATGGGAACTCTACTTTCCTGTCAATTTTGCTGTGAACTTAAAACTGCACTTTAAAAAATCTTAAGTCTTTGAAAGAAATCCCTTAAGGTGCCTAATACTCTATAATAACCACTTTTTTAATTAGACTGAATTCTGTTGTCTGCAACCAAGAACCCTGAGCAATATAATATTGTAGATCATAACTGGACTTTGCCAGTGCACTAAGGATAATGAATAGTTTTTCCAGTAGAGACAAAATCTTAGAGAAACATTCTCATGGGTATTCCAAGTGTTGCACTAGAAAATCAAGTAGCAAGGGGCAACACCTTGAGCCTAATAAGGCAGTAGAGAAAAACTGTATC